TTAATAACTTGGAAAGCACTCAAACTAAAAAAACCTACTTGCCTGTTTTGCATGTCAATTAATTGTTATCTGTGGCTCATTAAATTAAGAATTTTTTCGTAATCTATTTTAAAAAACATAAATATCTACTCTCAGCATTAGTAGCCTTTTGAAATGTTACATTGTTTTAGTTAATAATTTCTCTTACTTTCAGTTTTCCCTTTTGCATTTGTTTGTTCATAAAGATGTCTGGTTTCTTCTTTTCATGATACACTAATGCATTTCCACTGTTGTGTTAAGGGCACTGAGCACAGCCACTCAGGGAGAGCCATTCCTTTCGATTCTCTTTTTCTTGACCAACACATGGTCACTGTCTCAATTATTACTGTGTAACAAACTATTCCATACCTCCATGGCTTAAAATGGCCACTCACAATTTTCCAGCAATTTTGTGGGACAGGAATTTGGGAAGAGTTTAGCTGGGTGGGTCATCTCTGAGGCACACTGGCCCAGTGGCTGGGCACTAATTATGTCCTTCTAAGATGGCTTTGTCACTGCTGCATGCACCTTGATACTCCTTGGAGCCTCTTTCTCTCTGTCTCCACGTAGTGTGTCATCCTCCAGGGCTTTTCCAGTTGCATTGGGCTTCTCACCTATGCTGGTCTCAGGGTAGTCACATTTCTTACTTGAAAACTGGCTTCCAAGAGCCAGTGGCAGAAGGCACCAGGCTAGTTAAGGACTACGCCTAGAACTGGCAGATTCTATTGGTCAAAGCACTGAGAGCCTTGCCCAGATTCAAAGAGGTTGAGAAACAGACTCCACCTCTTCATGTTTCGGTGGCAAGATCATGTTGCCGAGGAGCATGTGGGATAGAAGATTTTGTTGCGGTTCTCTTTGGAAAACATGACCTGCTGTATCCACCCACAACTGAGAACCACAGATGACAAAGAATGGATTGTTTGCTCTACCCTCATCAAGGAGGTGAACTTGGCTCAGCTTCCTACTTCACAGTTGAAGTCAGGATTGTGGTCTTACTTACACCATAAGGAAGTTGGTAGTAAACCTGTAACTTCAGGGAACTCGTGGAAAAGGATGAAAGTGTATCAGGACTTAACTCTATAGATGACAAGCTAGTAGCTTATATTATAATTTTGGTATTTGGTTAAGTACTGATCACTTAGAATATATATTTTGAGAGCATATTTTCATTTTTAACCTGTCTCAGGTTTTCGAAAGACTCTCTGATTTATTTCCTGTTGTGTGTGTATGTATGTGTATATATATATATGTATATAGTGATTTCTGTAATGGTATATAAATGGTATTGATGCTATTTGATTTTATGTCTTTATGTTTGAAATCTGAACATGATTAGTATAAGGCTACAATATCATCGATTCAATAATGGTATGAGAGTATCTATTTCTTCCAGATGTTTCTGAGTTCAAGCACATATCCTGAAATTCATGGCTTCTTACATGCAAAAGAACAGGGAAAAAAGTCTTGGAAAAAAATTTACTTCCTTCTAAGAAGATCTGGTTTATATTTTTCTACAAAGGGGACATCAAAGGTAAATTGAAGTATCAGTGATGTGTTATGTGTGATATATTAGCTGTAAGTTAAAACATGCTTTGCTTAGTTGTATTTATTTCTTATTACTCGATGTCAAGTGTTGGTCTTTTTTTTTGGATCCCAAACATTTGCCATAAGGTGTTTAAACAGTATTCAGCTTTATTGCACACTAGTTTTAACATGTATCTTTGATGGAATCTACACGCTCTTATTTCAGTACCACATATATTACTCATTTTTCCCTACCAAGAATTTACTTCTTTTTCTTCATCCTAGGCTGCAGATTTTGAGGCCCAACATAGTTTACACCTTTTCTTTTTACCCCAGGTCATATGACTGATCTTGTCTATTCGTTGATCAACATCAACAGAACAGTTAATAACACTCAGCTGAATCCTTTATTGCTCTTTAGTCATTTTTTGTGTGTGTTATTTTGTCTCCTTACTTAGATTATACATTTCTAGAGGAAGTTATGATGTTTTGATCAGGGATGGATGGATGTGTTTACCTGCATGCTTGTATATATACGTATGCACGCGGTTCCCTAGGTACACCTGTGTGGAAGTCCATATGCACGTCCATAATCACTCAGAATACACTGTGTATTCCACAGTGCTCAGCACTATGTAGTCTTGGTTTCTCTGTGTCTAGTCTATGTCCATTATGCCATCTAGTCTGTGGTTTAAAAGTGTTGAGATTTTATGCAATGCATTGATACCTTTCAAGTAAAAATACTTCTGTGAGTTTTTATGGGAGGCTATTGTTATTCCATTTTCGTGCATCTATTATCAGTGATAATGCTGTTGTTTCTTTATGGGTAAACTGTCATTTCTCTCTAGCTATTTTTCAAATATTCTTATAATCATTGGTATGCAGTAGTTTCCCTGCCATATTTCTAGGTGTGTTGAAATATAGTCTGCTAAATTTTGCTTGATTCTCAGCACACACATTCAATCTGCAAACTCGTATTTTTCTTTTATACTAGAAATGCTCATCCATTATTTCTTTGACTATTTCTTTACCGTTCTCATTATTTTATTTTTAAAATTTTCAGTAGGATTTTCTGTCTTGATTAGTCATGGCTCCCGATGTCCCTTGGCTTGACTAACAAATCTCTGCCTTTGTCTTCACCTGGCCTTTTCCTCTTTCTCTCTTTGTGTCTCTTATAAGGACACTTGTCATTGGATTTAAGGCTCACCTGGATAATCTAGGATGATCTCATCTTGAGATCCTTAATTATATCTGCAGTGACCCTTTTTCTGAATAAGGTTACATTTGAAGTTTCCAGGGGTTAGTGCATGTGCATATCTTTCAGAGAGCTACCATCCAGCCTACGACAGAAAGCCACTGAAAAATTTTGAACAAGGGAGTGAAATGATCAAAAGAGTGTCTTAAGAAGATTAGTGTGGCCATAGGGAGCTTGAAATGCGAAGGAGAGAAAGAAAAAGAGATTGAAGGGAAGAGAGCAAGGGAGGCAGAGAGAGAATAGGGGGAGAGAGGGAGAGAGAGACACAGAGAGAGGAAGAGAGAGAGGGAGGGAGGGTAGGAGGGAGAGAAATTGATTATAGGTACAGGTGCTAATTAGATGATCATTTCAGTAATCCAGGTACGGGTGATGGGGTCTAACCTAGGATGAGCAGTGGAGGAGAGAAGAAAGGAATGGCTGCAAGATTAAATGGCTTATTGCCAGATTTTGATGACTGACTGATATGAGAGAATAAGGAGCAATTAAAAATGTTCTTACTATCACAAGAATGGAAGAACAAGCACCACATGTACTCACCATTAAATTGATATTAATTGATCAACGCTTATGTGTACATATGGAAGTAACATTCATCGGGTGTCGGGCAGGTGGGAGGGGATGAAGGGACGGGTAAATTCACACCTCATGGGTGCGGTGCACACTCTCTGGGGGATGGGCACGCTTGTAGCTCTGACTCGGGCAGTGCAAAGGCAATAAATGTAACCAAAGTGTTTGTACGCCCGTAATATTCTGAAAAAAATATATTCTTAGAGAAAGATAAAAGAAAATATGTAGAAAATGATATAAAAAATAAACAAGAATAAGAGGTTTGCTGGAAGGTTATTCTCTTGGAATCCAAATAAGGATCTTAGTTCTAGATATGTTGTATTGAGGATGAAACATCCACATGGAAATGCCCAGAACACAGCTAATGATGGAGACCAGATACTTGGGTAATGGTCCTGACAGGAGATGTGGAGCTGCAAAGGAGTCATACTTGACCCTTTCCCATATTTTCTCCAACTATTCTTGTATAGCTTCCTCCTTTCCCTCATATACAGTTTTTCTTTGTTGCTTGTATGTGTGTATTTTCTTGCAGTGTAACGCTTCATGGAATGGAGCTCTACTAATTTAGTAATGCGTCGCCTTACAGAGATCTTGTATTTTTGAGTGTATACTATGTGGCTACTAGTAGTCTGTCATGCACATGGATTTAACTAATCTTTCTTCAACATTTAAACCAGTTTTCAAATTTTTATGTCATAAATAATGTTACGATGAATATTAATTCATTTTTGCCATTAAGATTTCAGACATGTTCTGAACCATTTTAATGAGATTGCTCTTTTGCTAGTGTTCCTAATGTATTAAATAATATACAAAGTATTTTTTAATCAAATGCGTGCTAGAACATCTTTTTACTTTTAACATCAGAGAAAAATGGCTTCTAACTCCAATAAGTCATATTTATCTCATTCTAGTGATTCTTCACTGGAAGATATGATAATGTCGCTTTCACTCTCAAATTCTTACTTTTTAAACAGGTTTCTCATTAAAATCCACTGCCCATTATATTTTTACTTCATCCTTCACTTCCTCTCCCTCCCACATCATGTAACAAAACAGCCCTTCTTCCTTCGTTCGACTGGATCAATGCTCTCATCCTTGCAATGGTCTTCCCCTGGGCCAGGCAAAACTGTAAGCATCAGATCTCTATTCTCAGGCCAGACCTTAGTTCTCAACATAGAGTCTGACTTTGCTATTCATGAATACATAATATTCCTCTTCTCTAGCCTGTGCCTAATGAGCTCATGATCCATAGTGTATACATGAAAATGATTTTAAGATCCCCCTCCAAAAAAAATTTAGATGCTGTCAATGATTATGACCTTGATACAAATTATGTAGATCATCTAATGTCTAATATGGCATTTCTACATGGCAAGGAAGCTATTTCCTGTCCTTTTCTCTGAGGAGGTCTTGATTGATTTTACTTTCTAAAGATATAAAGATGTAAAGGCTGTAGGGGAGTTAGTTAACCACTGCTGCAAGCCTTGGAAATGCGGCTAGGAGTTATATTTACAGAGAGACCTCTATGTACCCTCCTCTCCATCTCCCTCTTCCGTACACATGTGCATGTTTAGATTTTGCTAACTGTCCAGCTCAGTCTTGTGGTCTTACAGTGCCTTAAGCCTCATATGGCTGCAGTAGTGGAACAGAAATTAATCAAGAGAAAAACATCTTCATGCTTTTTCTTGCCTTCCAGTGTTTCTTGAGCTGCCTGATAGTCATATTTGAATGACTCAGCTATTTGACTTCTACAGCATTAGCGGACAGGGAGGGTTTTATTCCATCTTCATAGAAATCAGACGTTTTGACTAGCAAATTAGTTTCTATCAAGAAATATGGTTTTAAAAGCCATGGCAATAGGAGTACCTTTCTCCTTCCTCCTCCCTTGTCTAAGACTTTTTTTTTTTTTTTTTAACATTTTACTTTTCTGCCTTATCCTCCAATGGAGTTAGAAACTGCAGTTATTCAAGAGATTAAAATGCTTAAAAACAGTGACCTATAGAGAAACTCTTGCTCTACCTGTCATCAGAGATGGAATAGCTTACTGGGAAATGACAATGAAATTATTTTGGATTTGAATAAGGTTGCTCATTTTGCTGAATGTTCTGTGGGTTGTTTTTGTTTGTTTGTTTTTGTTTTTTAGAGCACTGCTTTTCAAATTTTAGTGCATGTAAATCACCTGGGATCTTGTTAAAATGCAGATACTGATTCAGTAGGTCTGGGGTGGGCCCTGAGATTTTGCATCTCTAACAAGCTCCCAGGTGATGCAGATGTTGCTGATCTGAGACCACACTACTAGTAGTAAGGTTTCAGAGAACAAATGCATTTTGGCCAGTTTGATTATACATTCAACCTCAGAATTAAGCACTTCTCCAAGTTATTAACCTATCACAGAATAATATGACCCAGTGATTTCCCATGACCAGCTCGAAATCTCATGGATTTCCCGGAGAAGAAATAGCTGTTCGTGGTTCCACTTTGCCTTGAAAATCAGAAACATTCTGCTGGCAGCTAATTTCCCTTGAACTTATCTGTACAGCTTCCTTCTTTTTGTAAAGCAAGAGAGTCCTGTAGCCTATCTCTTTACTTCCTGTGGTGTGTTCTGCAGTACACAAACGTGAGGGATGATATTGTGTCTGAAGAAGCAGAAATCATCGTCTCTTTCTCCTTTTTCTTCTGTAACTGCTACAGAAGCTCAAACTAACCTTCTTCCCTTTGTCGAACTATCATTATTTGAAATGTGGATGAGGAAAACATTTCCCAAAGCCTTTCTTTGCTACCTTTTCTCTCTTTTAGATACCTTGAAAATAGTGGTTAAAGGGAATAGGAAGTTGAAAATAGGAATTTATATATTTATATTATTGGAAGTTAAATTACAAACACACTGCCATTTCCCAAATTCATTAAAATTATATCCAGTTCCTGGTTATTTAAGGATATAGTGACTTAGTTTTTCTTTCCTTTTATTTTTGTAACATCCTACTGAAATTCTGTTTGGAATAATTTTTTTGCCCAAGGTATAAATGGTGTGATATAATGGAAATAGAAAAAGTGCAAAAACATGTATCCATTTTGACACTCACACCTATATGTTTTTCAGGAACCACGGCATTTGCAGTTTTTCAGTGAATTTGGCAATAGTGATATTTATGTGTCACTGGCAGGCAAAAAAAAACACGGAGCACCGACTAACTATGGATTCTGCTTTAAGGTACAGGCTTAATATTTTGATAGATGAATAAAGCAAGCCTCAGTCTCTTAGGTAAGCTTGAGTTTCTTTTAACTTCTCTTAAAAAGAGACAGCTTTCTCTTATATATAGGAGAATTTTAGTGGCTTTTATTTCAACAGGTGTTACCTTCAAGATATGCATTAACGATAAACAATGTGCTGTGGCCTTCTAGCCTAACAAAGCGGGAGGGCAGAGAGACCTGAAAATGCTCTGTGCAGAAGAAGAGCAGAGTAGGACGTGCTGGGTGGCCGCGATTAGATTGCTTAAGGTAATCTCGCTGGAGGCATGAATTTCTATTAAATGCCGTGAGTACCATAAAAGTTTGAAAATATCTGTATTTCAAACTGTGAAGACTCACTGTGAATCTTTGTGGCTATATGAGAAAGGAGAAAAATCACCACCAAATATGTGTATTTTTTTTTTTAAATCTAAAAGATAAACATTCGCAGAGTGGAATAACCTAATACATTTATCTTTAATGTGTAGAGTAAATATTCTGTTTCTAGAAATGTTCTGATATTTTTTTTGTAAAAGTATTACCCACATAGCCAGTATATCTGAATGAAATGACTCCTATACGTGACTTAGTCTGCCTCTTAAAAATGTTGCTAGCAAGTTAATGTAAAGTGTATTTTAAAATGTGCCCACCTGAATACCTGTTTTGTGTTCCATTTAAGTGTTTTGTAAACTGCTTTCTAGTTTGATAAATACGACTCAAATTATTGTATAAATTTTACTATAAATATATTTTTAAAACATCTACTTCTATGCTAAGTAGAAATTATAACTTCCATAGCATAATTTGTTGGTGGAGCATTTTGAAACAAGTAAGAATATTCTAAAGGTAGGTACATGAATGAAAGACATAAGTAGAACTGGTTTCTTCCAGAATGTATAAAAAACACATACTTATTTTTGAAACCTGTATGTTGCTAAATTTAACAGAATTTTAAATTTATAATTATAACAATTTTCAACCATTCCTTTTTGAAGATAACTGCTTTGGTAGTCACAACTGGGGAAAGAAATTACAAATTTTTTTGTTGTTGTTGAACAGATACAATCCAAAGAATGTGCCTGTTCATATTAGTTAGTATCATTGCTGCAGAAGTCAACCAAATATATAATTTACCATTACTATTAAATTTTTGGTTTAAAATGGGAGCTTTAATATTTTCCAAGGTACTCTTTATATTAATAATTCATACCTGGGCACTAATATAATTTGCCAATATATACATTATGTATATTATATATATGGTCCATGTATTATCATAGGAAGATTCAGATCGTTAACAATATATATATTAAAACTGTCTTTTTGACATATTTAGGAATGAAAATCAGAACAACTGGGGCCTTGTGAAGTCCATTGCTCTTGTCCTTTTAAGCCTTTAGAGGCCGCCCCTTTCATTTACCCTGAAAAGGGATACAATAAACTTTTTAACTGATTTGTAGTTTGTGTATTTTCCAGGTCCACTATTTTTCTTCTGCCATTGACATTTTTACCTCTTCTGTAATCTATTAACCTTTTATTAGCATCCAGGTTAAGAGAGAGCTTCAGGGTAAAGAAGGGAAGAATAATCGTAATCAGAATTATTATCATACCAGGTTTAGAGGAAAACTTTATTTTGTGTTCTTATAATTTTTAAATTCGAGGACAAATTCACAAAATAAAAATTAACCAAACTATTTTGAATATGAACAATTTAGTGGCATTTAATACATTCAAAATATTGTACAACCACCACCTCCATCTAATTCTAAAACATTTTCATCACGTGAAAAAGAATTTCTGTACCCATTAAACTCTCAGGCCTAGGCAACCACCAATCTGCATTCTGTCTCTGTGGATTTACCTATTCCGAATATTTTATATAAATGGAACCTTACAGTCTGTGACCTTTTGTACCTGACTTTTACTTAGCATAATGTTTTGTGGTTCACCCACATTGTAGCTTGTGTCAGCTTTTCCTTCCTTTTTATGGCTGTATAATATTGCATTGTATGTATATGTATGTTTGATAAACAATTTGTTTATCCATTTATCCATTGTTGGACATTTAGGTTGTTTCTACCTTTTGACTATTGTGAATAGTACCACTGTGAACACATGTACATGTATTTAAATACAGGTTTTCAATTTGGTGAGTGTGTATGTAGGAATGGTATCGCTGGTCATAGGGTATTTCTGTATTTAACTTTTTGAGGAAGTGCCAAAATGTTTTCCGCAGTGGCTGAACCATTTTACATCCTACCATTTTTAAAAATTTTCTTCCAATACCACTTTATA